GCCGCCGCCATGTCGTGAAGGCGCTGTGTTTCGTTGTGAAAGCGAAATTACTTTGTTTGGCCTTCCAAAAGAGGACATGACTAGAAATCAGTGGTTAAGTTGTATTTACAACACTGTTCCAGAACAGTTTAACCCAAATATTCAGATGTGTCCAGCGCATTTTATGGAGGACTGTTTCCTGATCCTGGTAGAGTAGACTACAATGCTGGCTGTTCTGACTCACAGACTGTAAGTAAGTTTTTTATATTTAAAGAATTTTGCCACTGAAGATTCAAATGTGAGTTTAACAAAATAATGTTCTTTTTAGCAACGTCATATGACCCCTTTAAGACGTCTTTCCAGGGTGTGTCCTACGATGTCTCCTCCCCTTTGGAATGAATTAGTGTTGTAATATGATTGCAATTCTCTTGTAATTTTTTCTTTTTTTTTTTTACGAAATTGTTGGGTGATTGGTAACTTGATAACACACAAAACACTTGTTTACACATAGAGGCATTTACCGTTGCATCCTTCATTTTTTTTTTTTAATATTTAATCTGTATCTATCTGTATTTATGTTCTACTGTTAGTGTTATCTGTATGCACCAAGGGTCTGAGAGTAACGCAATTTCGATTCTCTGTATGTATGTGCTGTACATGTGGAAGAATTGACAATAAAGCAGACTTGACTTGACTTGACTTGACTTCAGAAAGTGTCCTGAACAAATCACTTAACGAATCTTTCTTTTAGATTCAAAAGATTCAAGTCACTGGAATCAACCAAAAGCCCCACAACCAGTGAATCACCCCTTTTCAGATATACATTTTAAATAATTACATATTACAAAATACGAACTCTTATTGGCTATCGTAGCTCCTCCTATACCGGTGCTGACCAATGAACGAACATCTCTTGCATTCGCCCACGCCCACAATCTCAGTTCACTGTCCCCTCCTTACCGACTCTCCCATTCGGAGAAAAGCACTGCAGTTTTTCATTTAAAAAAAAAAACGTAAAACCCGGATTATTTATCGGATATTGACAATGAAAAACGCTTTCTCCCGTTATTGATGCTGACTCCTCTCCAAACCCGGCCCAAATTTCACGTGAGTGCACTAGTTTCTTACCGTCGCCTCTTCGCAAATTAGACTAATTTTGTCATTGCGGTGAATGCGCTGATACATATGTTGAATAATTCATTGACATTTGTACAGGAGACACGCATCTCTGTGGCTTGGCGGCTGAAATCTGCCTCTGTTCTTTGTAAACGTTACCCACGGTTTTTACAGTGTTTCAGTGTCCACCATCTCCGAGGATGTGAGGAAGTCTTAAAATATCTGCAGGATGTAGATTCCCCTTTATGTCAGGGGCTGTGCTTTAGGTCAATGAGTTTTACACAGTATCTGTGACTGTCTTCATGCTCCATTGTTTCACTGTGAAGGTAGAATGAATGTCATGCCATCACATAATATTTGCACTTTTTATAGCTGTTAGTGTTCTTAGGCTGTAACCACTCCTGTATAGATCTTTTGTCTCTAGAAGTACATATAAAGTTCATGCAAGGCCTGCTGATAAATCATCTGAATTAGGTGCATTATATGACTTGTATGATGCATATTTTAAATGACACTGCATGTCGTTAGATATTGACTTTTTTTTTGGATACTGATTATTTTAGTGTCCCATAATCATTTTAAACTGATTCTTGTATTTTTAATTATGGTCTATTTTTGACACAATGGAAACAAATAGTCATTTTACTGCAACAAAACACTTTATGCATTTTGATTGTTTAAAAAATAAGAATATTGACACTCAATTATGACATGATTTTTCCATGTAGTGTTAAACCTGATATTAACAAACAGTTATAAATATATATACTGTAATCTATCTATCTGGAAGTCAAAATGATCAACCTCTTTCAAGTATTTAGTACAGTATTATTATTACTGTAGGATTTAGTGCATTTAGTTTACTACAGATGCTACTGAGAAATGGCTTTTCTCCTTTTTTTTTTTTCCAGGCAATTTCCTCCACCATGCACCATTGCTCATGCATGACATGAATTTCACTAGAGAAGTGGGGAAAATTTAGGGCCTTATGCATAAGTTGTTTTACTATTCTTGCAGTTTGTCAAAGTGAGTAAAAGACATGTTAAATATTTCATTTGGTGTAAAAGCAGCGCAAGACTAATTGGGGTTGTTTTAAAAATGACAGGTTTGTTGGTAACAAAGGCGGTATAATTATGCTGAACGGGTTGCCATGTTGTGTTGATGCATGCAGAGATTCAATATATATTGTTGATTTGTAGTCCAGATACTGAAAGACTGCTTACACGATCATCAGACAAGTGTGGCATTGGATGGATTTGCCACAGTAATGATACAATAAGTCAATTCAGTTTCCAAGGAGCTACTAGTTTTACGATAACATGAAGAGACTTCATAACCCCTTTTCCATTAAGCTTGTTCTGTGTCCTCTTTTGCTACCAGAAACACCTATGTAAAGTGGGAATCTGCTAAAATAAAGTAGAGACAGTAGTCTTGAGAAAGTTTCACCAGCCCCGTCTGCTCAATATAGCAGCTGTTGCCCGCTTTGGCACAGTAAATGCTCAGCTGTCTGTCTTCATCTGTTTGAGAAGAAGGATGAAAGTGTAGTTTATGTCAGCAGTTCCACATTTTTCCCCAGCTACAGATTATGCAATATCTAACTGCATTATCACTGACATGTAGAAATGTTTTGCTGCAGTGGTGTGAGATTCTGCTTTAGCTCTGAGTAGGATGTTAATGCATATTCAGTGACCTTTTGTTGTTTGCTTTCTAAATGCTGCTGAATTCAAGCCTAGCAGGTTGGATAGTGAGATGCTACACTGTAAGAAGACTTAGACCCCATATGTGATAAAGATAACGTTATTGGTGTTGAACGTGATGATTGCAACAAAATGAAATCATTTGATTGTTGTTGATGGGGCATTTTATCCAACAAGAAGAATAGCTGTGGAGAAGTCAATATTCTGCTTGTCATGTCATGTTTAGTGTCTGTACAGGGATTGGCGAAGGTTGGACAGATGCTGACAGGTTGATGTTAAGCAAAGCAAACAGACAGATAGCAGCCCGTTCCAGGTGAATCGATGTGCGGGAATCACATCTTCGTGTGAGTGACAGTTTACTCTGCAGTCCTGCCATCGTGTTGACAGGGGGCTGGGCGGCGCCCAGTGGTCTGGAATATTTTGACCTTGCAGAAATGTGTATTTCTGCATGTGTGTGCAGAATTTAACTTGTTACACACAAGTGCACTCATGCATCACAATGAATCCAATCATGCTGACTATAGATTTGTCTAGGTAGTGTGTGATTGATTTTATTGGATGTGTTGGATCTCTCTCTTTCTTAACCTGTGCACTCAAAGTAATGAGACATTAAAATATTTTTTGGGAGTCATTATAAAGTAGTTTTCAGATTGACTGGTATTGCTTTTACAACTAAATGATTTTTCATTAATGTTTAATTTCTGTTTTTGACAGCATAAGGAATGAATAATCATTGGACTACAAACATAAAAACCAACCACACACAATACAACATGCAATATATTATAATATGTATAATATAAATAAAAGCATGCCTTTTATATTTATGCTCATTTAATATACAATTTAAATGGTTGCAAATGTTATTGGATGTGTTGGATCTCTCTCTTTCTTAACCTGTGCACTCAAAGTAATGAGACATTAAAATATTTTTTTGGAGTCATTATAAAGTAGTTTTCAGATTGACTGGTATTGCTTTTACAACTAAATGATTTTTCATTAATGTTTAATTTCTGTTTTTGACAGCATAAGAAATGAATAATCATTGGACTACAAACATAAAAACCAACCACACACAATACAACATGCAATATATTATAATATATATAATATAAATAAAAGCATGCCTTTTATATTTATGCTCATTTAATATACAATTTAAATGGTTGCAAATTAAATTTTTTTAAACTACTGTTAAGGTTAAGGTTGCTAGTTTCTATCTTGGCATAAATGTAAATATACATAATTTAGGCAAATAATACAGTGTTATTTTACCCACAAAGACTGTTGTTGTTGTTTTAAAAGAAGAAATAACCAATTCCTATTTGAAAAGTGTAAATATCAGGAAACATAAAAATAAAACAATTACAGTTGTCATATTGAATAAATTATTAATTATTATAAATGCCCAATTTAGTTGAAAAGTGTAAATATCAGTAGTAATTTATTAATTCAAATGATATCCTATTTAATGCATCATGCAATATCCTATTTGATGTAATAAATAAATAAACAAATAAATAAATTTACACCATTCGAAATTCAGACCATGTTTTTAACTACAGTTTATTTTTATGAATTATATAAAAATAATTATATTTATATTTATAAATAAATTCAAACAAACAAACATGACATGTTTTCCTCCATCTGCTTTCATGCCCAGAACTGTTTCGTTATGCTACTGTAGGTTAGTGCAGATGTCCAGATGACCACACCACACTGCTGGTGGACAGTAACACAAGTTTATATAGTGTGACTAATGACTGCTTTGGAAAATGTGTCATACGGAACTTGTACTGCAGCAAATTTCCCCTGCATCTTATATCATTTACCAAAAGACAAATGGCTTCATTTTTATCCTTCTGCTTGTTACAGTGTACTGATGAGTCGATATGGTGTTGAATAATCGTTGGGTAAATGATATGGAGTAACTGATAGGAATTAATGGACAGATTCATCCATCTGGTTTTAAGGATGCAGGGAGCAGCAGACAAGGCTTTCATTAGGCTGAACGGGAGCCAAGCATCTCCCAATGGACTTGGCATCTGGGCCGCCGCAGCAGGACAGCCAAGTCTTCATGCCTCATAACAGCGCTGTTGGGTTATTCAGGATCAGATGTGATATGAAATTCATGAACTGTCTCATTTGTGATGATATCCAGTCTTGGTTGGGTGTGGATGAAGATCAGGGTTGACGTATATCAACCTCTTCTCTCCCAACAATGGCCAGTGACTGTTAGTTCATCTGATGTGTCATCATTGTCAGAATAAGCCACTCAGCATTTCAGCCACTCAGTTTATTGTGACACTGATTGCATTAACACTCACACTTCAAATAATGCTCTTTTATTTGTATCATCTACTTTCACACCAGTTTCCCTAGTAGTTTTTCTTGATTAATGTGAAAAGTAAATGCTCTACTCTTTACTGCTAGAAGAATATTTTTTATGCAAGGCATTAGTTTAATTTTAGTCATATTTACACTCTTGTCATGGAAAAAGAATCATTGTGAAGAATTTGAATCTTCACACATCCTTGACAGATCATAACATCATACTGACTGTCTTTCAAGCTCCAAAAATGACAAAAAAAAAGTCCATTTGAACTGAATCACTGAATCAGTGATTTGAACTTGAACTGGACTAGTCAGATTTGTGAACAAGTCTTTCATTTTAGTTGGTTCTATTCATTGAGCATTCAACAAATGTAACTAAATGATTCATTGATGAATCAGACTGGGCTGCATTTCTCAAAAGCATTATAAGCCTGAGTAGATCACAAAGATCATTGGTGGCAATGGTTAAAATGATCCACTTAGCAGAGATGTAAAGTATTGGAGTAAATGTAATTAGTTACTGTACTTGAGTTGAGTATCTTTTCAGGTACTTTGTAGTTGTACTGAGTATCAAAGATATTAGAAACTTTTACTCTTTACTTCACTACATTTTTTAATGAGTATCTGTATTCTTTACTCCACTACATTTGAAATGAGTGTTGCAGTTACACATTACATTTTGCATGGACGTAGCTTTTTCTGCAGCAGTTTATTTCTGCTGCAAAAGACGTGATACTGCCTATTACAGGTCACTGAAAGTACTGCATCTTGTGCGTTTTGCCCTTATACACCCAAACTTGTCAACAAGGCTACTTTATGTGAGTGCGAGTTCCTTAGCAAGTATTTGTGAATCACAGGTGTTTTATATATGAGATGAGGACATGACTGCAGCCGGCAATGAGGCCCAAACCAGCACAGCTAGTGTAAGAAGGCTCCGGCTTTTTAATTTTACTTAAC